GGTCCGGTTAAACCGGCGGTTTGCCGCAAGTAATCCGTTAACCGGACCGGTTATTCTGGATTTTTAAAAAAATTAACCACCGGATTTTTTAAGGCTTTTTTAACCGACCATTTAACCGATTCGCGGTCCGAATTGACGGTTTTTTTCGGTTAAAACCAGACCGTGAACACCCCTAGTTATTGAACTGAACTAATATAGCCTGATGTTTTATTGCGTGCAAACTACTCAACATTTTCTTCAATACATCTTTATTTTCAACTGAATGCCCCGCTGCAATATGATCACCGAAAGTATTTTCGTTCCCAGACTGATCCGCACAGTTTATTCGAAGTTTATTTTCAGTAATTTTATATTCTTCGTCCATGGCTTTTGCAGCTTGAGCGCGAATTCCATGAAATCCATGGAACAATCTCATTTGCCCTCAACATCAATAATTGGCATTGAACTGAATGGTTTATATGATGAATCAATAGCATGAACGAAACGCAAGTGCGTACTACTATTTTCACTTAGTGTGCTTGCTGCAACTTAAACTGTCGTACAAATAGGATATCTCGTGAAATCGGGATTCCTTGATTTTAACTCCATATAGAATTGGAGGTCGATATCTATCGCTGAATAATAAAGTCGGGTATCCTCCTTTCACTTGGTAATTCAGTTCCACATTTGCGTCTCGATCTTGCACATTCAATTTGTCCAGCACCATGTTGCGAAATTCATTGAACAAGCAAAGCAATCTTGTTAAACAAGAATACCACCAACTGCATGATTTTTGTAACTGTAGTTTTCCGACGTACCATTGTGCTAGATAAATATCATTATTCGAGACATGATCTGTAAATTTCAAATAAAAAACTTATGAATAATTTAAACAAAAACGTTTTGTAATTTTTTGGAAAAATAAAAAATAAAAAATTCCAAGGCAGAATAAGTGAACACATTGTTTGCTTCAATTACGAATGTTTTCCAACTTCCAGTCGAGCAAGCAAGAAGGAAATCACACTTCATCTCATGTGAAGGCGTGAATCATTGATTTTAAAAGGACGGGTGAAGCTAATATATGTGTATGTTTATATAACGGGGAAATGATAAGGTCCCGTTACGGGATGGTTCAGTCACTGTTATTCACCATTGAATACACATATCGATTATGTTGCGTAGATGATCTACGGTTACAAACACTAACAAAGTCATTCACGGGACTGTAGTCTATCCCTATATCACGAGAGTAAATAAACGTGAAATTTTGGATAATGTCAGTCGCATTATAAAGCCCAAAGATTTGTGATGCAACGTTGGGAATAGAGCCCTAATTCAGCCCACATATGAAGCCCTGCAACGCCACCTTTTTCATCCTCCGTCGACTCAAACAGACACCGCCCAGACAGCTTCAGTCTTCCCCTGCCTCCCGCAGGCACGCACGAACGTCGATATCGTCTACATCTCCGCAAAGATGGCGGACGTCGTGCAATTCAGGCTCGAGCACATGCTCGACGAGTTCGACGACCTAGAGCGGCGCGGCCTGTTCAGCAGCCGCGAGATTGCCGAGATTGTCAAACGGCGCCGCAAGTTCGAGTTCCGCCTCAAGCGGCCGAGCCCTCTCAAGAAGGATTTCTTAGCCTACATCGACTACGAGAAGCAGCTCGACACCCTCCGCCGCCTCCGCGAAAAATCCCTCCTTCGGAAGACCGGCGCCGAAAAATCTGAGGAAACGATATCCGATCACGCCGGCGTCGCCAGGATCCTCAACATTTATCGGCTCGCCGCCACCCGGTTCAAAGGAGATCTCAAGCTCTGGTTTCAGTACTTGGAATTTTGCAGAGAGCGGCGTCACGGTAGGATGAGAAAGGTACCCATCGCTTGTTGAACATTTTCGTTGTATAATGTGAAACTATAGCATTATCTTCACATTCTTGTTCAAGTTTCTATTTTCGTTGCCTTTTCAAGCATAAAACAAGCTGATTGATTCTGAGGTATGTGATTTTGTATTTGTGCATGAATCTGTACTTTCAGAATGATTGAAATTCTTAATCATCTGTGTTATAATAATAATGTAGATCTTGGCCGAATTTCTAAGATATCATTCAAAAGAGCCGGCTGCGTGGATTTGTTCTGCTGCTTGGAATTTCGATACCAATCTCAATGTTGAAGCTGCCCGCAAAACCATGCTCAAAGGTATGAGAGCTTGCCCGAATTCTGAGGACCTATATATAGAATATATTCGGATGGAACTAACGTTCCTCAACAAGCTAATAGCGCGAAAGGCCCTCTTGGGCGAGCATGTGGGAGACCAATCTATTGGTCACAAGAGTGCCGTTGAGGAACAGTGGAAAAACGAGAACAAGGAATTGTTTATGGCCCTTGATGAGGGTAAAGATGGTGATAAAAGAGATAGTACCCAAGATGGGAAAGCTAAAGGGGAAGTGGACTTGTTGCAGAAAATATTCAAATTAGTTCAGACTACTTATAGTCATGCAATTGAAGCCCTGCCCGCTGCATTCGGTCTCAGAACACGATTTCTTGATATAGTGGAAGCACTAAGTTTGGCTCATTTAGAAGATATGCGACCACAGATACTTAGTGACCTGAGAAGGGATTTTTCGAAGGAGCCTTTCTATTGGGACTGGCTTGCGAGGTATGAAGCAGGAGATCTCGAACGACCAGATCAAAAGCGGTTGGGAAAAGCAGTTCGGGTGAGTTGAGGAGAATCGGCTCCATGTCTTGATTAAATTTATATTTTAGTAATGATTATGTAAATTTCCCTTGGGGTTGGAACTAATTTAATGAAAAACTCACTCTTATGTCTTGATTAAATTTATATTTTAGGAATGATTATGTAAAATGCCCTTGGGGTTGGAACTAATTTAATGAAAAACTCACTCTTACAGAGCATATTTTTGTTAGAAGCAAGTATTTAACTATTTTAAATTATTATTTATAATCAAACTAACTACTCTGTGTCTGCATATACATTTGGTAATCACCTATATTTCGACGTGTAGATTTATGAGGAAGCATTGGAATTTGTACCATCAGTTTCCATGGTTGAGCTCTACGTGAAGTTTCTCATGGATGCAGTCGATGATGGAAATAGGGCTTGCGAAGCTGACGTTTATTTTGGCTCTGACACTGACACTGATGCTATAGACATTGGTCTCCATCTTCAGACAGTATACGAGAAGGCTGAGGAGATGGGATTTCTCACTGAAGATCTTGCTTGCCTTCATGTTTCATTCCTTTTGCGCGTGGGAAAACTAAATGAGGCCAAGATGGCAACTGAAAAGCTCTGCTCTGGAAGATTCATGGATTCACTGCAGTTGTGGACATTACGGCTATCCATAGAGATGAACGGCACTCTTGGTGAATCTCCTTATCGAACCAAGGGTGACCTAAAATACATCTTTGAGCTTCTGAGAAATGTTCTAATGAAAGTTCGTGTTTCGAAAGCTGAAAACTTGTGGGTTATGGTATGCAGATCATTTCAAGTATTTGATGGCCTCTTCATGTGTGGATTATGTCGTTTTTATGATAAAGTAGTGCTGCAAGTTTGTGCAGTTATATCTTGAAAGCTTTTCCTTGGTGAATGTTGTCATGTTCTGGTGAAACTTACGGAGATTTCAGATTACTAACAATCTTTTCTTTGTTTTTTCCCTTTTTTTTTTTCTCTTATTTGTTTTAGGGGCTGTATTACTTTGCAAATCAAAGACACTATTTTGACAAGCTTGTGAAGATTTCAATCTTGGCTCTGGCCAGGGATGGAGGGAGTGAGAGTGGGTTTTCACTCTCGTCGACAATTTTGAATTACTTACTTCAGAAGGATGGAGTTGAAAGTGCAAGAGAGATGTACAAGCGGTGAGTTTCTTGTTTTGTAACATTAATCTCAAAACAATTATTTTTCTTTAATGGTTTTTCTTATATATTGTCATTTTCCGCTACGTGCAGTTTTCTAGCTTTACCTCACCCTGGACTCGCTATATTCAGGAATTGCATTGAGCTAGAATCGAACCTTGCATCTGCTGGGGACAAGAGGGCCCTTGCAAATGCTCGGAAACTGTACGATTCTGCACTTGCAACTTACGATCAAGATGCAAGCCTGTGGCAGGAATACCATTCGATGGAAGTCAAAGTAAATTCTCTTTGTCTATGCGATTATGCATCAAGTCTATTAGATGGCCCGAAATTTTCATATATTAGCAGATTTTCACATTTGCAATATTTTGTTTTTCCTTCAGTTATGTTCCGATTCAGTTTTGTCCGAGTTATATCAGTTGAATGGTCATCTCAAAGCTTATGATGATAGTTTTGATATATTATGACAGATGGGAAGCTCTGAAACTGCTGCGGCTGTCCATTGGCGTGCAATGAAGTCCCTCAAAGACACCAGTGCTCTTCGTCCCAGTATAATTTTGTCGTGAATATTGTGTGGAGTTTTTTTTACAATCTTACTCATTATTTATTTATTTTTTTCTGGGATTTTCAGTTGGATTTTTTATTTAATTGATGTAACATTAGGAAACACAGAGCTAATAATCTAGATCCCGAGTCATTTTTGCAAGGGAACGAACATGAACAATTTTCACTCTATTTTGTTACCATGTGCCGACTTCGAACATTTTTCACATGAATGAACTGTGGAGATGTTTTAAATCACATCTCATATATTAGGAAGAAATGAGCTTGGTATTGTCTTGAAGACTTGGGTCACTGCATAGTGTAAAATTAGTCAAATTTACCAAATCACACTCTTGGCCACTGTGGACTCACAACCTGCAATGACAATTGAGCAATTCAATAGCAGTTTATGATGAATCCAAAGCCACTTATATGAATTTGTCTTGTTCATCAAAATTCATGAGCTCACCTCAAGTGTGCTAAATACGAGTCTCATTCGGCTAGCCACAAGAGATGGTTCCTCTGCACGACCCATAACCGCCATTTGCTCCAATTGGAGAGTCTTCACCGGAAGCCTTTAGGTGTAGCAAAAGTTTAACAAAAACTTGTTTTTAGTTTCACCTTGTTGTACTTCACCTAAAAGAGTTATATACCAAGAAAAAAAGGATACACTTACCAAGCCATTCCTCTTGTATAGTACGCATTTGCTATAATCGCGCAAAAGCCCTTCCACTTGATCAGCATATCTTCCGACACTGGACATGTGGTAGACCATCGAACTACAGTTGGTTGTGGTGTACAAAGAATCGTGATAAATACAATGCTCAACCACATTATACATTCCTCAACCTACACACAAAACACAAAAATTAAAAAATTATCTGAAAATAAGCCACCAAGAAAACATGAAAAAAAAGGCGCATTTTTTAGTAGAACGGCAAAAAAGGTGAAATGTAATTGTAATTGAACTTGCTTCTTGGGAAAAAATTCTGGACTTTAGACCCATAGTTTCACCATAGGCTTGCATAGCTTCAATCTCAACACCAGACTCCTTCATATCGGTAAGCTCTTTCCTCAACCCCAATTCAGTGCATCCTAACGCGTATGCATTTACACCAGCGCTGATGAACTCCTACGAATCATTCCATTAGCATTATATATATATATATATATATATAATAAAATGTATTAATAATAAAAAAAAAAAAATCCAGAATGATGCACCTTCAGGTTGTTTCCTCCACCACGCTCGACAAAATTTCTGTACCGCCTCAGCAAGCTGATTGCTATGTTGCGTGACGAGCGATACTCATTCTCAGGAGAAATTGAATCTTGCGACCGGCACTAGACAGAACGAACGTAAAAAACAAGATATAAGACAAAAGATGAACAAAATCACTTGATAAAAATTTAACTGCCAATTGATTAATGGGCCAATTACATGCCCCACTAGCCATCTCTTTGAAGTGATTTGGTGAGACAGATACTGGGATTTCGATTGATTACTGAAACCCCACGAGAAAGGACAGCTGGACCATCCCTTTTGATAAAGAACTTTAAAAGGAGCTGATGAAGCAGAGTTTATATGAATCAAGGGATTAATGAGAATCAGCTTCGGATTAGTAGCTTCTTGCAGCACGTTCGTCTGAATCGTTGAATCGGAAGATTTGAAACCTTAAATAAGATGACACAACATTTTAGTAAGAAATATTTTTATTTCAATTTTCAGCTCAAAAACCACGCAAGAAAACGATAAATAGTGGTCTATAGTGAGAAACTATATCTAATCAGGCAACAGACAATAATAGGTAGAACTAGAAAGACCTGTACAACAATACTGAAATAGCATTGCAAGCCTGAAAACTACCAACAAAGGGAGAGATCATATTTCGATTTATCGTAAGGTTGTTGTTAGGCAATTGTATAATTATATCTTTACAACATATATACACACTTTAAATTTCATATATTATACACGAAAATAACATAAAACCCAGAATTTCAAGAGGAACCATTTCAAGAAATTTGTGATTTCAAGAAATCTCCACAAAAGGACAGTAATAACTTAGGGAAATGCTAAGGTGCCGTTACGGAACCACTCTGTCGGGGGTTTGTAACCGTTAGATCATGTAACCGTCAGATATAATTGATCTAACGGTTACATACCCCGACGGAATGGTTCCGTAGCATGACCCTAGCATCTTCCAATAACTTATTCATCATGTAACCATTTCCCCTCATTTCATTAGTCCAAACTCCAAAAGGGCTAACAAATAAAACCCAGAATTTCAGCAAAAAAACCATGCTTTCCAGCTTAAGAAAACAATAAACAGATAAATCACAGTCATCAAGCTAGCTCGGGATTGATAATTAGAACAAATAGAAAACGATGAACTAATGCCCATTTCAAACCAATTCACCGACTTTATACACGAACCCACAGACCAATAGTCAAAATTTCAACGGATCTTATCAGGGGAATGATGATATCACCCGAAAATCGAGCAGATAATTTGGCCCAAATAAAAAAAAAAAGAAGGAAAATTCAAGAAAATGAACTTCACACAGATAAGGAGAAGAAGAAAAAAAATCACGAACTGAAGTCGATTGGCATTAACTTAACAGGGAAAACGACGTCGTAGACGTATCTGGAGAATCTTCTAGTTGAAGATTTTGACGGGGGCCACGAATTTGTTCAATGGAGCAAGAATCTCAGGAGCAGGCAAGGAAGGACGATTTATTCTGGCTCTTGATGTTCTAAAATTTCCAACAGTGACGAGATACAGTACCATGCGACGTCGTTCGCAATAATGTTGAGTTGTCGATATTTGTTAAGTTGAAAAAATCGAGACAATTATTTTTAGTACTATGATATAGTTATGGATTATTATTATTATTAATATTTATTTTTTGTACAAAGGAAGAGGCCAGTGCCTATAAGTTTATGTCACTTTTATGTCACTCACGTTATGCGAGTAGGACACACCAATCACATCATGATGTAACTACGGTCGAACCCCAACGGAAGGCACACTAAAATATTGGTATCCAAACGAACCCTCCGCAGCGAAGGTAGCCATATGGTCGACTGCAAAATTCGCCTCTCAGAACACGTGTTTCACCTTTACTTTCCAAGGGCGATTCAAGAGGTCTTTGATTCCCAGGATTAATCCCGTATGCACTCCCGGTACATCCTCTAAAGACTCCGAAAATCTCACAACACTAGCATTATCCACCTCTGCCTCAAACTGTCGAAAGCCGAGGTCCCAAGCCAAGGAAAGACCCCGAAAAAGCCCCCATAATTCTGCCGCCATAATCGAACAGTACCCAATGTTCATCGTAAATTCCCCTAGCCAATTTCCATTTTCATCCCGAATCAGGCCACCCGCACAACCCACTCCCTACACCCCGGTATAAGAGCCATCGAAGTTCATCTTCACCCATCCCGGTAGAGGCCGCTCCCACCAAATCCAACAAGGCACACGAAGTCGGCTTGTTCCACCGAGTCTCTGCGCGTCGTCTAGGAACTTAGACAACCCGTCGATGTATATACTAATAATCTTCATGCACGACGGTAAGGCCCGTCTCCGACCCTGAAAAATAATTCATTACGCCACTCCCAGAGCATCCACACCACCACACCAAATGTTCGATCCCACGCAGGACCAAGTTCTGTCCACTG